GGAACATTCATTGACTTCATCTTCTAATGTGTTTTAATTCAAAGAAAATTACGGCAGTCCTTTTTTGAGACATGATAGTTTCAATAAGATGCGAATTAACGGGACTTAGCCAACAACAAATATTTCAAATAGCAATTATTTCAAAGTTATCAATCGGTCGGTGTTAAGCGTAAATCGCCCCTTTTATTATCAAGTGAAATACGTTTTAACAAATCAAGAAGCCTCGAAGTTTATGCATAAGCTAATGTTTTTCTTGCGTCGATTTCTTACTCGATTTTTAACACCAAATTTCAATCGAAATCATGTCAGAACTAATTTGTTGTGTTACCTACAAGTTGTTCCGTGTCATTTGAGGCTAAGAGCTCGTTTCCATATTCGTTTTAAACGTCATGCAAGAGGTGTGGGTCAAGTACGCCACTTTTCAATAAAAAGTTGTGTGTTAAAAACACGAGCAAAACCTGTCACGAAGACTTTCCACTAAAACTTTATTGTGAACTTTCCTGAAAGCGCTCGCCTTTCTCCGTAAGAGCGGTCCGGCCGATTTCGCTCGAGAAACAGATTTCGTTCATTTCTTGTGTGTTGCAAGACAGCTATGTACTTATATGAAAACCTCAATCCGCCTGATCGGATCTTTTTTTTTTCCCGAATTTTATTGGAAGTCAAAGTTTACTCGAGCGAACGACCGTCAAGACTATTTTTAAGATCTTAGTTTGACGTAACTTTTAAGGACAAAAAAGAAAAAAAACTAAGCTCAAAAGAGATACCACTTCCGTGTAGATCATGGCTATCTAATCCATCGAGACGACTTTTAGAAACACCTAAATTAAAAAAGGTGGGAAGACTGAAATAAACCCCTATCGGTTCGCTTCGGTGAGTAGAGAGGTTGGGGGGAGGGGGTGAGGCAAAAAACGCGTTAGATGACAAAACGACAAAAATGTCACGTGCCCTGGGCCAGGGTGTTGTTGCCATGGGGACGCCAACAGCTGCGTGCGTCATTTGAGTATAAGCGTGCCCAGGTCACTAACGATGGTCATCACAGGCGCTGCATTTCGACTGAGAAGGGAACGGAAAATGGCTTTTCGGAGGTAGTCCGTGTGTTGGTTGTGCAAGTCGTCCAAGTTTCTTACCTGGATAAAGAAAATCAAGAATTGCTGTGAACAGCGGTGAACGTTCTAAACTATGCAATCTCTATCCTAAAAAAAAAAAAAATGAATCGCCGTGAAAAGGCGAACGCTTTACCAATCACAATGCTTAATAATTAAGCTTATTTTGTATAGTGTAATGCAGCTAATTCCTTCCCAAGTCACGTACACTCAAAAGTCCTTCTTGAAACTCTGACTATGTAACGTTTAGAACTTGATATGACAGGTATCCTTCAAGATTATGCACAAAGTGTTGCATTTCGTGCTTGAAAAAAGCAACAACAAAGACGTGATCACAGCATCGTAAAAAACTACGAGACACCTCAATCTACCAAATCAGCCGACAACTGGGTACCTAGAACTAACATCATGAAAAAGTCTTACGGCAGGCTGAGAAACGCGCGTCCTGTAACGCTTCCATCCTCTCGCTACGGGAAACGGGGTTCAAGGCCTGGTCGGGCCATTGTGTTGAGTTCTTGAGGAAAACACTTAATTATCACAGGGCGTCCCTTCGCCCAAAAGTATAAATAGATACTGTCCCTCTCCACCTAGGAGTATAAATGGATACTTTCCCTCTCCACCCAAGAGTATGAATGGATACTGTCCCTCTCTTTTCAGGAGTATAAATAGATACTGTCCCTCTCCACCTAGGAATTTAAATAGATACTTTCCCTCCCGATCCAGGAGTATAAATGGATGCTGTCCCTCTCCACCTAAGAACCGGTTGTTCAAAGATTGGATAACGCTATTCACTGGATACAAGAAGACGAGATGACGTAATCAACGATAGACTAATCCGGTCTAAGAGAAACATCAGTACTTCCTGTCGCTTCATGCTCTTAAAACCAAGTTCAGGGTAGGATCGGGAACTTGACTCATGAACAGACCTCACCTTATTACCCTTTCAGTAGATTCATTGACAGTCCTGTTATAGCGTACAAAATGGTCACATTAATTAGGTTTCTGAAAATCAAACTCATGCCTCTTGTCATTCCTTTTACCAAATCTATGGTAACCTTTAAAGCGACAACATACTCTGCTTTTATTCAAAGTTTTGACGGGAATTCCAAATAAGTGATGAACCAAAACATTTTTGCAAGTTTCTTTTCGCATCGAACTAAATAAAAAAAAAATTATGAGTCCGGGCTCCTGAAAATTCGTGAAAGCTGGTAAATAGATAGAGTCCCTGAAGATGTTTTTTAAAGAAAAAAGCCGTTTTCGTCACAAAATTCATTATTCAAATTATTTGCTAGTAAATAGCTTTGAAAAACTGAGCTGACAAAATAGGCTGATAATTTGCTTCATCTGAGACAATCTGGCAAAAGAATTGAAACCTTTTACACAGTAAGTATGAAATTAATAAAAAAGCATCAAATAGATGTAAAATAAATTTATCTTAGCCTTGGATGAATGTGTTTCCTATGGTCATTACAGTGTGTAATGGGTAAATAATTTATTGATTGGTCTTTGTGATAAATTTGGTTTCGGTTTTTCGACACCCAATTGAAAGCTGCTCTAACAGGCAATAGTTTTACTTTGCCAACTAGCCTCCAGGCTCCTAACTTCATATCAAAAATATATTCAAGGTTTCTTTTGAATTAAGTAAAATAGGTCTATTTTAGAAAAGTTGTTATCTGAGAAAAAACAAAAGAAACTTGACTCTAGGAAAATATTGGGGAAAGTTCAATTCGTTGGCGCGCGTTGAATTCGGTTGGTGAGAGATACATATATTAAGTGTGAAATAATTTGAGGAATACCAACGTTTGGAGCACACTCCTAGGGTTTGGTTTTAGTCTCAATAGTTTTCTATTGAATTAAAAATATGTAAATGAATTATGGAAAAGAAAAAACTTCTTGAAAATCAATTTTTGAACCAAACTCTTCCAATTTGGTTGCAGTGCCAAAAGCTGATACATTTGACAATGAGGCTCTGAGAGCAATAAAGCTCTTTTTTTTTTTTAAAAAAAAACATTATAATACGATAAAAAATAAATTAGGAAACCTAAAATATAAATCTGAACAATGTGGCGAAATACCAATTTTGGTGGCATTTTGAGTCTATTCCTCGGGCTTGGAACTTTAGCAATCAGACCTCAAGAGTGTTGTTGAAATTATCCAAAAACTTTCGAATTTAGAAAACGTATATCATCAGAGTACAAGACTAATAATGGATATAGAAACGAGTTTTGAAAAGACCTAGAGAAAGACCAATGTTCGAAAATTTCTTCTTTGCTTTTTTTAGCCTCAAGAGCTAAGGCAGTTGATAATCAGGCTGCACGGCAAAAAAATCTTATTTTTACCAAAAAAATTATAAGAGAAAGAAAATAAACACACTCCCCGACCTATACATTTTTGAAGAAATGACCTCCAAGGAAAACTAGAAAAACATCAAATTGGGACTGGTCTATTTCAATTTGGTTTACTCCTCAAAAGCCAAGATATTTATCAATTCGGCTCCGAGTTCTTTATTCTTCTCTACCTATTTCTGCTCAAAAATTTTACAATTCAAGCTTTTAATGAAAATTTGCTTTCCATTAAATTTTTGAGGATTTTTCCAGCATCTAGTCCTTGAAGTTAATCTTAGAATCAATTAATTAACAGAAACCGTGTTTAAACTTCCAGTTAAATCCATCTCAGTTAGATAGCCTTTCAGGAGATTGTAATAATAATCTTTTGATAGGTATCCAAAATATGAACAATTCTAGAAATCGAACTTGTTTTCTTGTTTGTGATTTTCTTTTCTTTGTTTTCGACTGTGGTTAGTTTTGAATTGCACACATTCACTTAATTAAGGTTCAGGCGTTGAATGTAGACCAAACATAAAAGCGCAGATAGCTAATTCGTTATCAAAAGGTAATAAGTAACTGACCTGGTGAGAAAGAATCTTGCTTTTCTTCTCTTTCCTTTCATTTCTTTACTTCAATTTTTTTCGTGTGTGCTTGACGCCCCTCTAAAGAAAAATAACCTGTTAATATGCGCATGCCTATCGTTTGGTGATTACTCTTTATTTACAATCAAAAACGTTAATTTCCTGCTCCGGAAGCATAATAAAAATTAAAAATTTTTTCCAAACTCGGAGCTAAAAGTTAAAAGTTATGAAATATTTCGTCCGTATTTCGACCGGACTTCATCAGTCAATGATATGAATGTTAAAAAAATGAACTTTAAAAAGGTTTTTTTAACGCCTCTTGGGGGTTAGAATTGTGTCATAGATAGCTGCTAATTCGTAACCATTGTCTCTGTTTAACGCCGGTTTCGTAAGTTTAATTTGAATAGCTTCTTTTATCCTGAGTTTGAAGGTGTTAACTTCGGTTGATAGTACTTTTGTCTTATTTGGGTCCACCGAGTGGCCCTCTAGGCGACAATGCTCGTGAACAGCTGATGAACTTCTTGATTGGTGTTCTTTCACTCTGATTTCCAGAGCGCGGGCCGTTTCGCCAACGTACTCCTTGTTACACTTCTCACAATGGATCTGGTACACATTATCGCATTTCTTGAGATTGACAGTTGTGTCCTTGACACGTACCAATTGTGATCTTAAAGAATTGACGGGTTTATGAATAAGTGTAACATCGTGTGACTTGAACGCTCTTTGCAAGCGTTCCGAGATACCTTTGATGTATGGCGTTGATGCATAGATTTTCTTCTCGTTTTGAGGCTCTTCGGTATCTTCTGTTGTAGATTTTGGATGTGGTATTGTTAGCATCCATTCTGGATAGTTATTCATTTTTAGAGCTTGCTTGATATGCTGTGTTTATCTAGTTCTGTCCTCGTTTTCCGTAACCAAGGTCTGAGCTCTCAACATCAGGGTGTTAACCACAGCTCTTTTGTGTTGTAGATGATGGTTTGACTGGAAGTTTAGGTACTGGTCCGTGTGCGTAGGTTTGCGGTACACGGAGATCTTGGTAGAACCACTTGGTTAATACTCACACAGGTATCAAGGAAAGGAATCCTGCCATCCTTTTCTTGTTCCGAAGTGAACTGGATGTGTTGGTCAATGGAGTTTAGATGTTCTGAGAAGGAATCGACGGCGTTTTCGTGAATCTTGGCCATCGTGTCATCAACATATCGATACCACATAGTTGGAGGGGTGGGGGCGGTGTCCAGAGCTCTGCTCACGAACTGTTCCATGTAGAGATTGGCCACTACAGGGGAAATTGGAGACCCCATTGCGGCTCCTTTCTTTTGTTTATAGAATTCACCCTGGAATGTGAAGTATGTGCTCGAGAGGCACATCTCTAGTAGAACAGATAATTGGGCGATATCTAACGGGCATCTGTCCGGTAAGCTCTGGTCATTTCCCAGTTTGGCTCTGACAACTGGAATGGCTTCATTGATCGGAATGCTGGTAAACAGTGAGGAAACATCGTATGAAACGAGTTTCTGTCCAGGGGGTACTTCAAGTTCTGCAGTCTTGTTGACAAAGTCTTCACTGTTAACGATGTGATGACTGTTGAGGCCAACAAGAGGTTTCATAATCTTAGCAAGGAACCTGGCAGTGTCGTACATCACGCTACCAATGCTCGAAACTATTGGCCGTAGCGGTACGTCTTTCTTGTGAATCTTGGGTAGCCCGTAGAGCTTTGGGACATTCTCTGCTGTGGGGTACAGTTGATTGTAAAGATAATTAGGGATTCTCTCTTCTTTGTGCCACTCCTTCAAGGTTTGAATGAGTTTGTTTTTGATGACTCTGGTTGGGTCAGATGTTAATTTTTTTTTTTTTTTCATACGTATTGGTATCGTCTAGGAGAGAAAACGCTTGGAAAACTCGCCCGGTGGCAGAATCACAAAAAAAAGTTCAGCTAAAATTCAGACCTTTCATGAGAACCGAGCGTTCACTGTCGGAAAGAGGGCGGTCAGAGAGATTCATAACCCACTTTGTCCGATCAATGTTGGTATCTCCAATGTTTGTCGTCGGTGACCGAATTTCTTCTTTACTGATCAGTAGGCGGTCAAACTTTTGCCTCTGGCGGCTCTTTGCCATCTCAAAGTGCGACGAATGTGTTTTCTCGAAGAGAGTTAAGATTTGATTGTTTATCTCTGTTGACACCTTGGATTGTAAACTTGATTTCAGTTCTTTTACGCTCTCCTCGTACTTTCTGATCGTAAAGTTGCATTGTCTTATTCGTTCCTGAAGAAGTTTCTTCTCGGCATTAAGAATAATCTTCATGGTCTTAACACCTTTCATACAGGTTCGTAGTTTCAGGCTGTTTGGAGTAATGTTGTTATATCTGTTATATCTCTACATGGAACAGTTCGAGAGCAGAGCTCTGGACACCGCCCCCACCCCTCCAACTATGTGGTATCGATATGTTGATGACACGATGGCCAAGATTCACGAAAACGCCGTCGATTCCTTCTCAGAACATCTAAACTCCATTGACCAACACATCCAGTTCACTTCGGAACAAGAAAAGGATGACAGGATTCCTTTCCTTGATACCTGTGTGAGTATTAACCAAGATGGTTCTACCAAGATCTCCGTGTACCGCAAACCTACGCACACGGACCAGTACCTAAACTTCCAGTCAAACCATCATCTACAACACAAAAGAGCTGTGGTTAACACCCTGATGTTGAGAGCTCAGACCTTGGTTACGGAAAACGAGGACAGAACTAGAGAAACACAGCATGTCAAGCAAGCTCTAAAAATGAATAACTATCCAGAATGGATGCTAACAATACCACATCCAAAATCTACAACAGAAGATACCGAAGAGCCTCAAAACGAGAAGAAAATCTATGCATCAACGCCATACATCAAAGGTATCTCGGAACGCCTGCAAAGAGCGTTCAAGTCACACGATGTTACACTTATTCATAAACCCGTCAATTCTTTAAGATCACAATTGGTACGTGTCAAGGACACAACTGTCAATCTCAAGAAATGCGGTACTGTGTACCAGATCCATTGTGAGAAGTGTAACAAGGAGTACGTTGGCGAAACGGCCCGCGCTCTGGAAATCAGAGTGAAAGAACACCAATCAAGAAGTTCATCAGCTGTTCACGAGCATTGTCGCCTAGAGGGCCACTCGGTGGACCCAAATAAGACAAAAGTACTATCAACCGAAGTTAACACCTTCAAACTCAGGATAAAAGAAGCTATTCAAATTAAACTTACGAAACCGGCGTTAAACAGAGACAATGGTTACGAATTAGCAGCTATCTATGACACAATTCTAACCCCCAAGAGGCGTTAAAAAAAAACCTTTTTTAAAATTCATCTTTTTAACATTCATATCATTGACTGATGAAGTCCGGTCGAAATACGGACGAAATATTTCATAACTTTTAACTTTTAGCTCCGAGTTTGGAAAAAATTTTTAATTTTTATTACTCTTTATTTGTAAATGCAAATCATTATTATCCTGATAAAAAGCTCAGACATGGTGAGCAGATTTTCTATAGACGTACAAATATAGATACTTTTAATCACTTATTCTTTTGGAGGAATCTTAGCTCCCACACTTTTCAGTTGTTTCTTGAAAACAGAGCCACCTCAATTCATCTGGAAGATAAGATGTCTCTGAACTGCATCTATCGTATTTCCTTGAATAAGAGCCCACATTCTAATAAGCATCCTCCCTCGGATAAGCGCCCACTTCCTTGGCCAACATATCAAAAAACCACCCTCCTTCCCACCTCGAATAAGTGCCTTCCTCTTGCCTCACTTCCTTCCTTAGATAATAGGAATACAAAGAAAAGCTGTTGTTACTGACACTTAATTTGTAACTTTATAAACCTCAACTACAGCTAAATCGGAACAGGTTAATAGTTTGTCAATAATCCCCCCTCGATTAAGCCCCTTCCTTCCGATGAAAAAGCGCCCAGAAAGATGAATGGTAGCATGCTTATGCAATTTTATATACATTAGATAGGGGATCACCGAGCAAATAAAGGCAAAAGAGAGGCTGTAGTTTTACTATGGTAACCATCTATGTCATAAAAAATAACCTTTAAATGTTAAAAATAAATCGATAATATTTTGATACCATTTTTAAGGGAACATGATAAAAGTATGTTTCTGTCAATACATTATATAATTGGTTTAAAGTTATCAAAACCATCTTCAGCTACCTTAATACTAAAACTCCGAGCACGATGTACTGTGTATATTATTGAAATACGTTTAAAAATGAAAATAGGAACCGAATAAGTAAATTAAGCCATCAATACAACAACAATGAACGAACAATTTTCTCGCTGCTGCCTCAGGAGTTACTTGGTTCAATGAAAACTTTCATGGCGGTTACGAATGGGAATGAGGTCGTCTTACAGTGTAGGTGCTGTACTGTCTAATATATAAGTTCTCCCTTCCACATGTTACTCTGTAATTGAATGTTCAACCACGCCGGGGATTTTTCGGCTCTAATTTGGCCAAATCGACGGGCTCAAGTAATGCGTCAGCGGCTAACTTCAAACTGGCTTTTTTCTAACAAAACATGGCGGACGCTAGTGGAGTGTTTTTGAACACTGTTCGTGGTGCGCTTGTAGTCGCAGAAGCTGAACTTTCGGGCAAAGATGGTCAAATTAATAATATAAGCGAAGCCCTAGATGATTGCTGGCACCAGTTTCGGTTCGACACTTCAATAACTGAACCGGATTTAAGCACATCTTGGGAGATTATTTTCCAATGTTTCAAAGACAAGCCATAGATTGGCCTAAGACATTTCAGCGACGAATGTCTTCACGATGTTCCGTCAGACACGCCTGGAAGGTGGTCGTGGAGGAAAAGCTGCACAGAGAGCTTTTTCAAATTTTGGAAGCTATTGTTTCGCGGACAAATTTCGGAGTTATAGCTGACCGAACGCGAAAGAACTGTGTGTTTGCTTTCACCTCTCATGACAGAATGAGAAAGGTATTTTCTGATTGTACTAATCAAAATCTGAGTAAAAATACCTTTTTGAAAAGAAAAATCAAAGGTAACATGCGTGTAGAGGCAATCATAAGTTCTGAAAAACAGTTTGCAATAAAATATTCCTACAGAAAGAATTAATCACCATTGATTTTCATTATAGCTTCTGGAATGAGCATGACTGGCCGCGGCATGTGTGAAATGAACAGTAACTACGATCACTCCTTTTAGTCTAATACTTTTAATATAATTTTAATATCAACGATTGTAATGGTAACATTCAAGACAATAATAATTTCTGATGGCAATGCATTCAGCATGCAACGTTTTGTATATTAATGTAAATTGAGATTAGAGCAAATCATTTCTTGTAATCTCTGTATATATCAATAAGATACATATCTATATATTACTGTAAACTCTTCATAATGATATTCAATGCACTAGTGGATATTAATGAAAAATTGAAATAGTAAATTATCTTTTGTAATCTCTGAATATATCTATATATATATATATATATATATATATATATATATATATATATATATATATATATGTGGGGGTAGAGTCTGCCTTGGCATAAAGTGCTCAATGCTGTGGTAGCAGAGCTGAGTATATATAAGTGAAAGAATCAAAGAGGACGCATCGATTCTCTGTTACTCTGAGTTTCGCACCTAAGCGCTTGTTCTCACCTAAGTTCTGTCTGACGAGCGCTTAGGCTCAAAACTCAGAGTAACAGAGAATCAATACGTCCTCTTTTATTCTTTCACTTATATACATATATATATATATTTCATGTCATTTGGTAGCAGTTCAAATTGAAAGGACGCAAACTTCTTCTTACCATCAGTTTCTACTGAAATCATTTTCCCCTCAATTTCAGTCATTTGCCTTTCAAGCAGAACCACATATCTGCGAACTGGCTCACAGTCTTCAGAGCAACTGGCCCCAATTAAGAGAAAGTTCTCTGCAAAGCTATACACACGCTGATCACAGTTTAGGAAACTAACTAACCAAGCCAATGCTCGGTCATCCTTTCCAAAGGGTGTACCATCCCCCGCTATGGCAACTTTAAAAGTTCCCTCTTGCGTCCCAAACCAGTTAAGCTTATCCTTCCTGTAATTGTTGGCACTGAGATAAAACTGTGCCATTTCCAACAATAGAGAATATCAACTGTTGACTTACTCTCTTGACTTCCCTGTAACCAAAATTGGCTCCAAGAGACTGGTCGTCATTTATCCCCTGTGGGCGGAGGGAAAGGAGGCTGAACGATACAGTCGGCTATAATGGCCATAGGGAAGGCTAAAAACATGAAGATTGCTTCGCGAACGGCTGCCTTGCAAAATCTTCGTTCATAGATCAATAATAGATCATTTCAAACGGGTTTGTTAAGGGTCGAAAGTCCCCGAAGCACGACCTCTATCAAGGAACTGACGAATACTATGCCAACGAAATGTTGTGCACAGCTCTTTGTGAACGTTAAGATTCTAACCATATTTTGTACGGTGTCGTCGGATTGAACTACTCGTGGATCAAGCGATCTCTTACAGAACCGGACATATCAATTGACAAGGAATATGATATGTTTTTACTCTTTTTATTTTATTATGCAAGGCAAGCTCATAATTTTAAGAAGCAGATGTTTCTTACATCAAAATATAAGTCAGCTTCTTTCGTTTAAAGAAAAACATTACTCCAACGTAAATTTTCTTGCAAATTAAAGTTGAGAATTTCAAAGGTCTCAAAGCGTGGAGTGCATTCGGTTGTAAGGTTACAGAAAAAGCGGGGAGGAACAGCAATCATCCCAACACCAAAATCAGCCTTCAGTTAAGAAACGACAAATTTGTTGGTTTTGGTGCGAAGGTGACGTTGACTGCAGACGAGGAAGATGACAAATCCATCTACAACCATACTGAGAATGCTGAGGAACCAGCCGAGAACTCAAAACCACGTTTCTATTGAATTTCATTTTAATGGCTGTCCTCAACTACTCTGTTGTTCTTGCGTCGGGACTACTCTGTTGTTTGTTAACGACGCCTTTCGAAGAGAAGCCTTTTATCGTTTCAAAGTTATCATGTGATTCATCAACAAGAGCTTAATACTCTTAAACATTAAAGAGAACATACAGTAAAAAACACAGCAAAATTGAGGAGGAAAATGATATTTTTTATTCTATATCATTAAATTATGCAACGTAAGCTCATTGTTATAAAAACCAGATGTTTCTAGGACTAAAATACATGCCAGCTTAAATAATTAATTTAAGAAAAACATTTTCTCCGGCAAAGTATGGCCTCAAAATAATCAATATTTGGTCTTAAATATTAGAGACCGATGTAATATCAGCACTTTTTTTTTTTGGAAGCTTTTTAACTGAACAGCGATAAAGACAAGAATTAATATGTCACGGATAGATTGTGAACCAGAAGTCTTCGGGATCTAGGAAAGTTTTAAGCATATGCTTCAGCTCAGTAATGTTTTACTTGTGTCGGAACTATTCTGTTGTTTATTAACGACGCCTTTTGAAGAGAACCCTTTTGCATTCTTGTTGTATATCTCTTTTGAAGAAAGCATAAGCTATAGGGTTTATTGCAGAGTTAATAACTTGTAGAGGTATTTTGTAATGATAATCGTTACATGATTGATTATCAGTTAAAAATAAACTACAACGCATCAATATTCCGTAACACGATAGAAACACACACGTTACCAATGCTACCCATTTTACCGCTGACGCCTTGTTTTGAGTTTTAGCTCTGGCGACCGGTTGACTAAGCCGCAATTTCTTAGCTAAAGTGCGATCTCTAGAGTATACAGCAAAAAACATGGATGCAAGAAAAAAGATTAGAATTACGCACAAGATTACCTCGAAAAGCAAATACAAATAGCCGCGCATAGTCCTGGCATGATCGATTCCACTAAGTGTAATCCACACTAAAGTAAGAGTGAAAAGAGAAGGAATTCCCCAAGATGCTACAACCATTTGAATGACTCGACGGCGCGTCATAAAAGTCATGTATTTCAAAGGTTTCACAACAGCAACATAACGTTCAAGAACTAAACTGACCAAGTTTGTTCCAGAGGCGTAAAAAGTGAAAATCCTTACAAATGCCACAATTAATCCCTCTTTTGAGTGTGGAGTGCATTCGGTTGCAAGGCTGCAGAAAAAGGGTAAAGGAACAGCAATCATCCCGAAACCAAAATCAGCCACTGCTAAAGACACGACAAATGCGTTGGTTTTGGTGCGAAGCTGACGTTTACTGCAGACGAGGAGGATGACAAATCCATTTACAACCATCGTGAGAATGCTGAGGAACCAGCCGAGAACCCAAAACCACGTTT